GGTATGGTACCTGAGTCAACAACTATGAATGTACCGGCGTGGTACTCGAACCAATCAAAATTGGTAAACATATCAGGCGTGATTTCTGCCAACCATTAGTATTGAAGTACTGGCGTGATACCCAACTAATCATCAATCACAAACAACATGCACAATCATATATACAATGAACAATACCACTTGAAAGTCATAAGTCACATAAATAGATTCATTGCATGGGATAATAGCATGATGTCATTTCATATATATGATTCCCTATATTTTTTCCCTAACATGAATTGCATAGTAATAATATAAGGCAGTAGACATACATATATACATAAACCAAAAACATACAACCATCACCTACCTTAAATTGAGCCTCTTGAAAACTCTAAAAAACTCGAACCTTTTCATTTTGAAGTGTCTTGGCTTCTTCTTGATTTAAAACAATAAATAATGCAATAATTAATCAAAAAAGACCTAAACATTATCATCCTCAACTTAGAGCTCTTTTCACCGTGAAATCATGTGAAAACCCTTCCTCAAGAGTAATATCCTAAATTATAAGGCTTAAGAATCAAATTACAAGATTAGAGAGTAACAACTTACTTTTACCGATGAATTTTGTGAAAAAATGAGTAGAATCTCCCTAAATTAATTCTCTCAAATCCCAAGAACAAAGTGTAGAAATTAAGAGGTTTTTAGATTGTTTCTGCATAAAATTGCATTTACCCCACTACCACTGAATTAACATCACTTTAGCGCCTGAACACACATGTCATAATAGAATTCTTCCACGATAAAGAACTATGTAAAGTACTGCAACTACGGGGATTCTACTTACCTGAATTCAATTTCGTAAAGCTCTATGAGTTTCTCAATGTCTTAGCTACAATAAATATCGACCATGTCTAGACATTACACCTTACCCATTCACGGATAACCCTAGACCACCGCCTAGATCAAATACTGTTTGAAGTTGGCCTATCCTAAAATTTAAGTCATTATTCGAAAAAATTCTGGCTCAAATTCTTTCACCATTGGCCTACTCATAATGATAAATGAAGATCATTACAAATCAATGAGAATCAAGACATCACCATTTAAATGAAATATTTATAGTCTTCGAAAATACTTATTGTTAAGAGTTAAATAAAAAAAATATAATTAATTTTATCTAGAATTTCAAATGAAAAATTAATTTTAAATAACCTTAATTTTAAAAATCACGATAGTAATTTGAAATGGAGGGAGTAATACTATTATGTTGAATAGGAATTATTAGTCTCATTACCGAAGGATCCACTATATTTCACTCTTAACTAATGGTACCATGACCTCAAATAAATCTTAGAAAAGACAGACGCACCCTACAACTTTCAAACAAGTCATCTTTGCGAGGCAAATGATACTTATTCCTCATGGTAGCCTTATTCAATTGTCGGTAATTTATACATATCTTCATATTACTATTCTTCTTCTTTACAAATAAGATATGAGCACCCGTAGGAGAAGCCCTAGAACGAGTAAATTGCTTATCAAACAATTCTTGAAACTGACTCTTAAGAACTCTCAACTCTATCAGAGTCATGCAATAAGGAAGAATATAGATTGAACGAGTGTTTAGATCTAAGTCAATACAAAAGTTTATCTACCTATCCAGAGGCATACTAGGAAGATCTATAGGAAACACCAATAGAACCATGGAGATAGATTCCATGAAAGGAGACTCTGCATTAATCTGTTGAATATCAGCCAAATAGGCCAAACACCCTACCTTACTAGTTTGCTAGCCCGAAGGAGAAATATGATCCTTAACGGCTTAGGTTTGTACACCTGTTCCCGCTCTAATTTTTTCGTCCATAATCTCTAGAGTTACTATTTTAGCATTACAATTTAACAAAAAAAATAAAATGAAAAACTAAGTCATACCCAAGATCACATCTAAGTCGTTCATATCAACTATGACTAAATATAGTCTATTCGGGTCTGTAGGCCCATAATTACAACTAACTCTCCAATAGGGTAGCAATATATATTAGGGCATCACAAATCAAATCAAATCCTAAAACAAATCTCATAGATATATAAAAATAAGTGTAACCTGGGTCAATAACGCATTAGTCATCCAGTCACAAATTAGAAAAGTACAAACTGTGTGGCATATTGAGATTGGGCATGAAACTTAGCTGAGTTAGCCAAACATAATCATGTTACGCTGTTCAAGCGCCATACAATTATAATTATTCCTATATCTCAAGGTTCGAGGCACATATTTCTCCAAGACAAGGAGGCAAGGAAGGTCAATGGACGACATTCCACATAAGATATTAACCACTATAAACTACATACAATTATAATTATAATCGTGTTTACATCATTATATTTTGATTCATTCTATTGTAGTTAAATAATAAGATAAAAACAAATTAGACTATAACTTTGTGGTTTAATATCATTCTCAAAAATGTTTAATATCATTTTATCAAAGCTAATGGGTATTTTTAAGAACTCTCACAAAATTCAAAAAATTCAATTTTACTATACTATTCAAAATTTCAGTCTCCTTTTTAACGTAAGGTCCAAAGTTGGACCGTAAGAATATTTCTTTCATAATTTATTTTCAAATTTAATACGACATAGAGATTGAGCAACTAATCCTCTTATAAACTTCAATAATTATCCCACTAAGAAGCAGAAATGAAATCTAAATTAGGAATACGAAGGAATGCTAAATCAGCTCTTTTTTCCCAATATTTTTACTATTCCATTGTAAAATAAAATCAAAATAATTTGAAAACATGTAAGTTATAATTTACTCTGTGAATCAGAACCATTAGGCAAAATGATACTATACTAGACACAAGATGAGATAAATGAAACACATTCTAAGTAAAGAAAATATGAGATATTAACGAAATACCTAATTTATATAAATTGTAGGGACGGATTGTTATGTTCCCGGATTGTGCTACTCCGAAGTTTTGATTTATTTAGTGTGGGCCGCTTCAGTTGTCGGATTGGGACCATCAATGTTAATCTTCAAAGTGTAAAAAAGCTTAGAAGCCATGAAAGTGAAAGAGAGAAGAAGAAGGTGAAAAGGTAAAGTAATTTTCTATAAAGTGGAAGAAAAAGTTCCACTTTATAAAATGGAAGAAAAAGTTCCACTTTATAAAGTGTAAAAAAAGTTTCGTTATACGTTAAAAATACACGTTATAACACTAACGGAAAACGTTTAGAAAATTAGATAAAGTGGAACTTTTTCTTCCACTAAGCTTATTTTAGTTAGTTACAAAAATAGTGGCTTATTTTGGTCATTTTTATATTTTTGTGGCTTATTTAGGTTTTCGACTCAAATTTGAATAATGAATGAAGCATGTATAAGATTGAATTTCAATTTTCAACCATTTCAGAGAAACGTTACTCTGAGTCACGTTTTAGCTGTAAAATGTGCTTCAAAGTAACGAATTATAAAATGTTACTAACAATAATGTTTTATATCTGTTTACTTTGTCAGATTTTTGTCTTTTTGTTATTGAATTTTTTGAATAAAATATTACCTGAAACGTTAATGAGAACCACGTTTATACTAGTTTTGTAAATTTTTTTAAAAAAACATATTATCTTGGTAAATTGATTTCAATAATGGCCTACTTTGGTAAAAAAATTCCGTTGAAGATGTTGGCAACTAATATAGTATGAGTGTCATTTGTTGGCAATTATACATTTTCAGTGCATTAAGTTCGTGCTAAAATCAAACTTATTGGAAGTAGTGAATATATATCAAATATATATCACCAATTTTTGTTCTTTATATATATATATATATATATATTAAATTGCTTTAAACTTTTTCATATGTAGCCAAAAGAGAAGTTTTTTTATTATGAAAAAAAAAATATTACTCCCTTCGTTCTTATTTATATTCACCAAATCAATTCCTACTTTATCATTTATATTCTCTAAATTTAAAGTAATAATAAATTTATGTTGGTGAGAATAATAATTTTAAAAATGTAATGATATGATTATAAACTTTATTTACATATGAAATAAATAGTTAGTAGATATAAAGATGGGATTGTTTTAACAAAATATAAACTTTTGAAAAAAATTCCAAATCACGATATGGAATTTCTAATTAATTATGATTTTTGGAGAATATGCAATTCTATCTCATGATATGAAATCAACATGAAATCACATATCCAAATATTAATTTCATCTCACAATTTCCTACCGTGATATGATATTACATTGTCAAACACCTACTTATTGATGCAAAAAGGGTCATCTAACACAATAGATCATTAATCTCATCACACATTGTACTTGCCTAAATGTAGTTGTTCAACTTCACATGTTTAAAGCTAGGCATAATACATATATTGGACCTTAAATTTGGCTTCAAATTTTAACTTTGACCTCCAACTTTCATAATGCACAAACATGCACTTTAACTATCCAACTCTTAAATAAATAAACACATGAGTCCTACATGACACAATACACGTACGACACCACGTAGGACAAAAAATGACATGTAGGACACGTGTGTTTATTTGTTCAACTTTATACAAGTTTAAGTATCTACTTGTGCACACCCAAAATTGAAAGGCGTAAATATAATTCGAAGGCAAGTTAAAGGGCACAATTATGTATTATACCTTAAAGCTAATATATCTAAAATTTTGCATATAGATTTTGTATTACTCATCCTACACATATATGCTTAAATATAACAAATTTATTTTAAATATTTGTACTGATTGATATATAATACATGTGGTTTTATATATATATATATATATATATTCTTTCAATATATATTTATCCTTACTATTGTCCCATGTAGTCCCCATATTCATTTTTTTAACAATTTAGGATGAATATGGTTTATAATTGCACAATAAATTAGAAGAAGATCTGCTTATATAAAATCAATAACCAATGTTGTACTGGAAAAAAAAAATGCATGCACGCATAATTCAATCTCAAAAGAAACAAAACAATAAAGATTAGCAAAACCCCATGTAAAATTCAAAAAATGAATGTTTACATAGTTCATCACGAACTCTCCAATAATGTTCACACACCGTATCAGGTCTTAAAAAAAAGCACTATTTTTGAAGGACGCAACATACAATTGTCGACATTTTGAAGAGTCTGAACAAGGTAGTTTAATTTAGTCCCATATCATGACAACAGCAATCACCCCAACACCTAGAAGGACAGCAACAAACTTGAAGAATTGAGTATCAAAATAACATTTATTTTGTGGTTTAAACCCTTTTGCAATTAGGTGATTAATTGCCACATAAATAAAAACCCCACAAGCAATTGCCATTGAAATAGCATAAGTCCAATCAGCTGTACGGCCTTCACTAGTAGCATCAATTGCAATTCCTATACCCACACCTATAGGGCTTGAAATTGCAAAGGCAAAAGAGTAAGCACAAGTAAGTAGAAATGGCCTTTTTGGTATCATTCTTAAAAGTGCAATTCCCATTGCAATGGCTGCAAATATTTTGTGCAATGAAATTGTCCATAGGTTTCTCCATGCCTCTCCCTTTGAAGCTGAAAATTACATCAAGGAATGTGAGGATTAGCGACGGATAAATTTTGTAGCTAAACAGTAAAATATGTTGATAATCTTATTTAGCAAGGATTAAGTGACAAAGTTCTTAGCTAAAATTTTAGGGTTTTTGTAGGGCAATTAGGGGATTTTTCTCCACTTAAGTGTTAGGACTAAAGTGTCATGTGTAACCTAACAAAGCAAACCTCGAAAGACCACAAGTCAGAAGACAAAACGAGAAATATACAAAAAGACACAAAGATCTAAGGTGGTTCGGTCAATCGACCTACATCCACAAAAGAGATGAACAATCCACTATAAATACGAGAGTACGCAATAACCTCACACAATTCACTCGGAATAAAAAGAGGCTCACGGAAGTAATAACGCATCACTTGTATCCCACAAATTCTCTCTCCTAACCAAAACTCTCGAAGCTCCTAGGACTACATTGTGAATGTTAATTATGTTAGAACAAATATGTCTCTATTTATAGAGTCCTAAGCAATTTCCTACAAATATGGAAACTTTATGTTTTCCTTTTAGGAAAATGATAACTTATTTTATGATAAGAAACTCAGAGTAAATATCCTACACCAAAGCACATTATTGAAGACGATTCTCCTTTTTTGGGCAATTATCCGAGACCTATGTATTGACCCGACTAGCTATCCATATTCGTGGTATGTAGGCATACTAAGGAGAGTAAAGTATTCCCTATATATATTGAAATATTTTCTTTATTACCATAGCTCAAATGCGAGACATTTGGTTAAGGATATCGGAAGGAAAGCATAGTATCCCTTGATGGTATTATTAATTTAGGATTATCACAATGAGTAAATGTTTTTCTACAAAAGCAAATATGAAATGAAACTAAAGAAGGTAAAACTCTATTTTCACTAAAAACAAGCATCCTCTAGTCCTCATGTAACACATTCCCTAGATGTTCTAGGTTAACATAGTGTATTGAACTATTGATAGTGTGTAGATTTTTAACACTATCAACTTAGGTCACTTAAAATAATCTATTTCTTTATACTGTCTGTATCTATATATAATCTCCCGGAGATAGTCTCTCAACATAAATAAAGAAAATATTATATATACCCAATAGTTTATTTACCTGATACTCCAACAGCAATGCCTTCAAAAATAGAGTGGAAACACAATGCAAGAATGAGAAGTATTGTATCCCCAAGTGAAGTTGTCTTTAGAAATGGATTTGTTCCATGTCCCTCATCAATATTAGTTGACCTTCCTTCTTCATCCACTTCAACTTTGGACTCACTTGATTCATTTACACCCCCCTTTGTCACAAACATAATAATGCAATCACTAAACATAGTGAGAAGATAACCTACAAAAAAAAAAGTTACTCATTTTATTTGATTTGCGCGTTCCTCATAATGTTGTCAGATGTGTGACAGATCCTCTAGTAGTATTGCATTTGGAGGATTTAACATGAACGCGTTATGATGCAATAACAATTGATAAGAATTTAAGTTACATACATCATCAGTAGTCTAAAGATATTTTCAAACTATCAAAGCTCCTAAAAAATTTATAAAAAGCGAGATTTAATAAGATAGGTTATCTGCTACGATAGGTAATTAACCTGCAGAAGCCAACATGAAGGCAAAAGGGTACTCTTTTTCTGTAAGTACACCAAAAGTTGTAGCAGAATCACTCAAAAAATGCATCAATGAAGTCCCTAAGAAAACACCACCAGCAAATTGAGTTCCTAACAAGAGAAACCCCTCATTCCATCGATAGAAATAAGGCGATACGCCACCAACAAATGTAGTTACAAAGAGTATGATCAAGCAATAAATTTTAACAAGAATCAATCCTTTCGCGCGTAAATTTGTATTTGTATCTCCATTTGAATCATGTTCATCATCATCATCAGCTCCACCATGACCATTGATAATTAAAAATTTCAAGAACAAAAACAGGAATAGTGTTAACAGAGTAGTTGACTTTTTTATGGAAGTCATGATCATATCTTATTATTGTTTTGTGCTATGAAAATTAGTTTAAATTAGTTGATGTATAAAAAGAAGTATAATTATTAGACTAAAAATTTTAATGACTGTGTAGTATTTTTGTAGTACAAATTTGACTTTTTGGATTGGATTGTACTACAAAAAAAGGGTTGTACAAAGTTGCTGATTGGCCGGCTTCTTATAGGAAGTTGACAATTGGAAAATTCATAGTCGTTATCCTTCGAATGTATATTGATAAACCCGCTCGTATATAATACTTTTTCCGTCTTATTTTATATGAATTAGTTTGACTTCACATGAAATTTAATAAAAAAAGAAAGACTTTTGAAACTTGTGATCTAAAATAAGTGATCAATATTTGTGTGACTATAAATCATCTCATTAAGGATAAAATAGGAATGTTAAAGTTAAATTGTTACTTTTTTTTTGTTTCCTACCTAGTGTTCCGAGCCCACATTGAAGTTTTGACTAAATCTGGATCACGCTCGTGGCCCATTCGGGGGCGGCGTTCCGGACAGAATTTTCTCCATACATAGGCCTCGAGCCCGAGACCTCTGGTTTAGGGCGAAGTACTCCCACTAGTACACCACAACCCATGTTGATAGTTAAATTATTACTTAATATAGAAACATGCGTGTCATTCTTTTTGAGACCGACTTTAAAGAAAAGGAAGTCATATAAATTGAAATAAATGGAATAGTTCGCAAACAACATAAGAAATATAAATCGCACCAAATTTACATAGTATTATGACAAGCTCGACTAAGAAGGCGTTTACAGGTTCTCTCATGGGATACTATATTTAATCAAAAAGTATGAAATATAACAGGAAGTTGACAATTTCATGGATATATGAAATTTATTTTTTATTGGAATATGAAAATCCGCAGTCGTTATCCTCTGAATGTATAATGATAAACCTTCTTCTATGTAATATTTTCTCTGTCTCATTCTATATTGAGTTAGTTTGACTTGGCATAAAATTTAACAAAAAAAGAAAGACTTATGAAATTTGTAGTCTAAAATAAGTGATCAATATTTGTGTGGCTATAAATCATTTCATTAAGGATAAAATAAGAATTTTAAAGCTAAATTGTTACTTAATGTAAAAATATGTTTTTCTTTTTGAGACAAACTAAAAGAAAAATAAGTCATATAAACTAATTTGCAAGAGATGTAAACCACACCAAATTTATATAGTATATTATGACAAGCTCGACTGAGAAAACATTTACGGGAGAATGATCTCTGATCTCCCTAATGGGATACTATATTTAATCATAAAGTGTAACATATAATATAGCAGCGTGGTGAACATAAATGCCAATGCTTCTAATTAAAAATGGGAAATGTTGTTTAAAAATGGAAACAAGATAATATAATATATTTTCCAACTATAAGATGGTTTCTTAAAAGTATTAAATTTTAGCAGCAAGATGGCAACTCACTTAGTCGATATTTCCAAGGATAAATCACCAAATGAAACATTTGTTTAAATAAAAACTTTAAAAAAGAGTCATTATATAAAAAAGATTAGTCTAAGAAATATAGTATTCATTCTGTCTTGTTCATAAGTAGAGGAAATAAAACTATACTAAACATAAAAAAAAAATTGTAAAAGGAGAAATAATTACTCATATTACTGGAAGGGTTTGTTAGTCATTTAACTATACTCCCTCCGTCGGGTATTATTTGTCATGTTTCTATTTTTAGAGTCAAATTATAAAAACTTTGACTAACATTTTAAGATGCATTTTTTCATCGTATTAATATGCAAAAAATTGTAATTTATCGTACTTTTCATATAGTTTTAGAATATCTAAATTTTTTTACTTAAAATGTCAAATTAATAAGATCTAATTACATTTAAAAATTAGTCAAATTGACTTTCGATAAGCGCAACATGCAACATGATAAATATTACTTTTATTAATTTATGCATCTTTAGAAGTTAATTAAAAATAGAATCCAATCTGATCTTATGATATAATTTGCTTTATTATTTAGCTGTTCCTCATGCGTAGAAAGTGCTACAAGCAATTGAAATGTTTACAACATCATCAAAGCTATAATTTATACCTTTTTCTGTTTGCAACTATTTTCTGTGTGATAGAGCTTAACTAAATTGCTTTAAACGCAGTTGATGCAACTATTTTCTATGTGATAGAGCATGAAATTGTTAGGGGACCAAAATAATCAAACGTTATGTGGAAGCTAACAAAAGAAAGACCACGAATAAGAAAGACAAATGAAAAACATATCAAATGAGACACAAACATTTAATGTGGTTCGATAAATCAACCTATTTCCACGTGAAAAGATGAGCAATCCATTATACATAATATCGAGAAAAATGACCTCACACAAGTCACTCAAAATAAAAGAGGTGCACACAAGTGTTCCCGTAACATTTTGTATCTCCCAAATTCTCCCTTTACACAAAACTCCCAAAGCCCGTAGATTCAAATTGGGAATGCTACCAAGTTAGAAGAAAAAAATCTTTATTTATAAAGTCGTAAACATTTTTCTACGAGAAAACGGACTAGCCAAATATAGAGACTTTGAGTTTCCTTCAAGGAAAAGGAAAATTTTATTTATAGTAAGAAACCAAAACAAATACCCAACATAAATATTAAGGAGAAGGGGGGGGGGGGGGGGGTTGGTATACTACTACTAGATAACACAAGTTTTAACATGAATTCATAGCGAAAGAAGCTTCAAATTCAAAAAATTAAGTATATTAGAATTGGATGAAAAAAAATGGTGGTTTAATTAAGGAGCCCATCAGGTTTTTGTTGAAATTGGAGAGCACTGGCTCGTTATCCTTCCACTGCACAGAGCAAGAGCTATTCGTTGGGGAATGTTGGTATACTACTACTAGATAACACAAGTTTTAACATGAATTCATAGTGAAAGAAGCTTCAAATTCAAAAAATTAAGTATATTAAGAGTTGGATGAAAAAAAATGATGGTTTAATTAAGGAGCCCATCAGGTTTTTGTTGAAGTTGGAGAGCACTAGCTCGTTATCCTTGCACTGCACAGAGCGAAAGCTATTCGTTACTCTGGTAGCCAAGCAGCCCATACTTTCGTCTGAATCACGTGACTCAACTCTGTGCTTGGATAGGGCAAGCAAGACTAATGCCAACCAAAGTCCAGCCATCTGGAACAGCCTAACAACCCACCACATTGTTGCACCAACTTTGGTTACAAGCCCACGTTACATGGCTCAGCATTTAGAAGTCATGTTGTATCATTATATGTATCCACAAAAGTCATCCTTCACAACCGATGTGGGAGAAAAAAATATGTAATGAGTAAGTATACCTTTATTTGTTGATGTATATTTAGAAGTTAATTAAAATAGAATCTAGTCAACACTATGATATTATTTCTTTAGTATAAAATTACTTTTGTCTAAGAAATTTATTTTTTTAGAGAAAATGTTTTCTCAAATTATATGCGACCAAACATTGAAAAAATGAAAAAGCAACAAACATTCAATGACACAGAGTGATGCGTCAATATGAATAAATAACTCTTTGTTCCCATTGGAAAATTGGAGGATTGGGGCCGAGAACTAATATCTTATCTATATGCTTAAAGGCTTAATTGTGTTTTTGTTCCCGATTAGAATCTCAAACAATCTGGAGTACAATTAAAATATATCTCCTCTTAATTAAATTGCTTTAAGAGCAGCTGATACAACTCTTTCCTGTGTGATATAGGATGAAATTGTTGGGACAAAAAATAATCAAGCTAAATGTTAACCGACGTATATCCACATGAAGAGATGAACAATCCATTATATAAAAGCTAGAATACACAATATCGGGATAAATAACTTCAGACAATTCACTCAAAATAAAAGGAGGTGCACACAAGTGTTCATGCAACATTTGTATCTCTCAAATTCTCCCCCTACACAAAACTCTCAAAAGCCTCTAGAACCACATTGTAACTTACTATCAAGTTAGAAGAAATAAATTAGAGTCGTTAACATTTTTCTAAAAAAAAGGGACTAGCCAAATGTAGAGAATTTGTGTTCCTTTCAAAAAAAAAGGAAAACTCAATTATAGTAAGAAACTATGGCAAATACCCAACATAAATATTAAGGGCGGAACATGGTATACTAATACTAGATAACACAAGTTTTAACATGAATTCAAAGAATTTCACAAAAGGAAAGTATAGTAGAGTTAGATGAAAAAAGAAGTGGTGGTTTAATTAAGGAGTCCATCGGGTTTTTATAGAACTTGGAGAGCACTGACTCGTTATCCTTCCACTGCACAGAGCGAGAGCTATTCGTTGCTCTATGAAACCAGCCTTACGCAGCCCACCCCACTCTAAGAGCCAAGCAGTCCATACTTTCATTTGAACCACGTGACTCAACTCCGTGCTTGGACAGGGCAAGCCATACTAATGGCAACCAAAGTCCAGCCATCTGGAATAGCCTAACATCCCACCACATTGTTGCTCCCACTTAGGTTACAAGCCCACGTTACAAGGCTCGGCGCTTAGATGGTTATGTCATCATTATATGTACTAACAAAAGTCATTGTTCACTACCAATGTGGGAACAAAATATGTAATAACCAACTCTACCTTTATTTATTTATGTAAGTACCTTTGAAAGTTAATTAAAATTGAATCTAGTCAGATTTTATGATATATTTTATTGAACATTTAGATATATTTACTTGTAGAAAGTGCTGTAAAAATTTCAATTGAATTTGTCATAAGTTTGCTACATAATCCAAGCTCTATATAGACCTTTCTTTATTTACTAATAATTGGACAAAAGTACTCCAAATTAAAATACGAAACAATATTAAATTTGAAGGATTAACAAGTGAAACTCAACAATTATCCACGTGAATGGGGAATGACTATATTATGAATGTATACATGAAAAATATGTGTGATAATAAGGATTAATCGTATTTGATAAAACTATATTTTTCCTTTAAATTTCTTCGTAGTGAACATGCATCAGGTACACTTGGTTAGTCAGTAGCTTTGACATTCTTCAACCGTCAAACTTTGATGTATACCTAGATAACATATGCCACACAATTAACATTTAACTGTTCTTGATTCTCATATTTTTGTGTTCGTTTCAGTCATGAACAACACATGATTTCATGCGTGTGTAGAATTGGCCTTCACTTATTCTCCTTTAAGTGGCTTACACTTCACACTCACATAATTAATTTTAAAATGTGTGAGCCGTAGATACATTGTTTGATCATGTCATGTCAAATATATAAATCATTAAAAAAAATGTTTCCTCGTTTCCTAAACATTGTCGTATATTGTGAATGGATTAAATTTAATAACAACGTTGAATTGACATTCATAACGTTGTTAGATATCTTTGAAGCTAAATTTTGGAATCTCCATGTAGGTAAAGTTATCATTATGATGACTTATTCTTGGACATAACCCCTTCTATAATTAGGTCTTTGGTAAGTGATACTTACACATTATTCTGACTTTACGTAGTTCATTAATGTGATAATTTCACTAGAGTAATTGTCTAACAATACTATATCTTCAACTCTTCATCATATGTGACGAGATTCTACTCTATGCATAATATTTTCAGCCCTTCTTATTTCATCTTGACTATCATAATTATATATATATTAGCCAAAATAAAGGTGCAAACATGCGTGTTCACAAAAGAAAATACATTTTATTTTTAAAAATTCTGCAAATTTTAAATAAATCACGTGAACGGGTGGAAAGAAATATTTGTGAATTTTTTATTAAATTCCACGTAAATTAATATCAGAAAAAATATATCAATAAATCAGAAGTACTTCTATATGTATATAAGCATGAAAATTTTCAATCCGCCTCCTCTCCATTTCTCCTCTTTTCATTTTCTTCAAGTTCTAGCTTGGATTGGAGATACATGTCATAGTTTAGAATTAACGGTTGAGATGTAATTGATTAAATCAAAGTCCTAACTATAGTTATTTACTTCCATATGTTTATTTCTTAAATATTTTTGCAATCCATTATATTTTGTCTAGATATATTAAAAGTTCGATCTGCGTACATTGGAACACACCGTAACTAGAAAAAAGTTAAAAATTAGAAATAGTCATTTTTTGAAGGAATATAAAAATCTGGAAATTTGTTAAGTGTGTTAAAGTTGAGTTATTTGGTCAACTTCAAACGACCATAACTCCTAGACCGGGATGAGTTAGGTGTGTTTCCAGATACCGTAGGAAAGATCTTGGAAAAATCCTTCCAACGCCGCCGAGTTTGCGCGATTCCAAGTTCATTGAGTGAGATATGCCAATTGGAAGTTGGGTTGTTCAAATAAGGAAATATTCAATCCGGATTTTAAAGGGTGTTTTGGCCTTTTCCTTACCTAATTATTTTATTTAGTTTTTGTTTAATTAATTGGGGTCAAATCATATTATTCAGTTTTAGAAAAGTTGAAGTTTCACGCTAGGGCTTGGAGAAAAGAGAAAAGAGGAGAAAGGAAAAGAAAGTTCAAGATTAGACGTCTTCGTAAGGAATCGCTTGTGAATTTCGTCAAGGGTGATCCCTATGAGGTAAATGAGATCACACAGCGTTGGATCCATTCGCCCACGCGCCAAACTTGTTATAGTTCAGTGATAGTACTCGTCCTAAAAGAGTTAGAATTTAATGTTCTTGAGTTCTGTTCTTAAGTTATTTTCATTCTTGAATTCACATGTGATTGATGGGTTTGATTGAGACATTTAAGCAATGTTAAGAATTGTTTTTAGTTAGATTTTAGTGTACATGCTTTGGGTATCTGAATCTAAGAAAGTATTAAGAAAAGGAATCGATTTAATGCAATTTAGGATCATAAAACAAGTTGAAAATTCGTTAGACGCACCTGGAGAGGGCCAGGCGCCTCGCGCCCCCATAGCGCCAGGGAGGCTTGGGGCGGCACGCTTGCAATGCACCCAAAATGAACCCCAGAAAGTTGGGGCGCCAATCACACGTCGGGATCGTCATTTTTCGCCATTTTTTTTGTCGTATAGCCTATTTAAGTCCTTCTAAAGTGTACTAATACTTTCCATTGATTCTAATACTCTAAGTGACTTCTAGAAATCATCCAAAAACATGAATCATAACCTTGAATTCATAAATTCAAATTCAAGGAAAGTTAAGAGTCAAGTCTAAGAAGTTCTTAGTGTCTTTTAAGAAGTCTTTTGCAAATGCTTTGAACTTTATTTTAGGACTTAAAGTTCAAGTTGGGTAAAGATACTTAAAGTTCAAGTTGGGTAAAGAATAAATAGTGAAGTTTGAAGTTCATTTCTTCAAAGAAGTATATGAGGATTATATACTCCCAAAGAGTTTAAAATGTTTTCACATTTTAAATAAGAATGAAAACTGAGATTTCCAAATAGTCTTTGAGCTAGTATTCAGAAAAGAGTAAAAGCTTTCCCTATTAAGCAAGAGAGGAAATATTGATTTCCAATATAGTCATTCAACTAAGTTTTTGAGTAATTATCTCAAATCAAAGAAAGAACTATGTTTTTAAAACGTAAGAGTTAGTCATATTTTGAAAATAGTATTGAGCAGTGATATGAGAGAGAGTTCAGACAATTCACAATTTCCATAAACCATTTAGCTGTCATGGATAGAAAAGGGTCAATGACCAATCAAGTAGAAAGTCTTTAGGTGATTACATTTGGTTGCAAGAAAAATGTTTTGAGCAAAAAATATATTTGGGAAAAAAGTTTTAAAAAAATAATTAGTTTTTATGCTATTTTGTTATGTTTGATAAGCAGAAATATTGTTCTAGAAAAGTTCGGGTATAATCTAAGATAAATATTATTAGACTTGAAGGTGAGGGTAGGATTTGGGGTTCGTGGGAATGGACGCTATGGGGTGGAGTATGTGTTCAAGGGTCGGGAGGAGACAAATGGCGTAGGATGTCCTTTATGAAATTTGTTTTTTCTACTTTTTACTTGAAAAGTCATTTTCTTTTTTAATTTTTATGAAAACTTATTTTCCAAAAGAAAATATTTTCCCAAATTTTAACCAACCAAATATTGAAAAATTGAACAACATTTGCCGGAGATTATTTTCCTCCATACCAAATACATCCTTATGGAGTGATCAAACGACCCTTATTTAGCCAATACATTCAGTGACACATAGTGTGATATACGTTAGTGTGAATATGTAACTCCTTATTATTTCCTTCGGAATCGAAGGATTGGGACTAACAACTAACACCAAAACACTCATCCACATGCTTAAGGGCTAAATTAAATCTTATTCCTTTTATGATTTTATATGGTTACAATCTCAACCAACGTAGAGTATAGTAAAAATGTATTTTTTTTTAATTAAATTGCTTGAAAAGCAATCGATGCAACTCATAACATTAAATATTAGCAAATAAACATGGTTTTACTACTACTAACACAAGTTTTAACATGAATCCATAGTGAGAGAAGCCTCTCATATTCAAAGAACTTCAACAGGAGACTATTTCATACACTTTTATCTCACATTTAGGTAAACTTGGACCAAGCACCAATTATAGAAAAGAAAAAAGTGGTGGTTTAATTAGGTAGTCCATCAGGTTTTTGTTGAACTTGGAAAGCACTGACTCGTTATCCTTCCACTGCACAGACTGGGAGTTATTCGTTGCTCTGTGAAACCAGCCTCACGCAGTCCACCCCACTCTAAGAGCCAAGCAGCCCATACTTTCGTTTGGACCACGTGACTCAACTCCGTGCTTGGATAGGGCAAGCCAGACTAATGCCAACCAAAGTCCAGCCATCTGGAACAGCCTAACATCCCACTACATTGTTGCCCCAACTTAGGTTACAAGCCCACGTTACAAGGCTCGGCATTTAGATGTGTTATGTCATTACTATTTGTATTAACAAAAGTCATTGTTCACTAACGATGTGGGAACAAAATATGTAATAAGCAACTCTAGTTTTATTTATTTATTTAAGTACCTTTGAAAGTTAATTAAAATTGAATCTAGTCAGTTTTATGATATATTTTATTGAATATTTAGATATATTTACTTGTAGAAAGTGCTGTAAAAAATTCAATTAAATTTGTCATAAGTCGCTACATAATCCAAGCTCTATATAGACCTTTCTTTATTTACAAATAATTGGACAAAAGTACTCCAAATTAAAACACGGAACTACTTCAACAAACGATAATAAGTTCGAAGGATTAAACAAGTAAAACTCGAGGAAACTCAAAAGTTTTCTATGTGGTATGAAAAATATGCGTGATAGTAAGAATTAATGCTCATTTGGTTAAGTATATTTTTTCGTTAAATTTTTTCATAGTGAATATGCATCAGGTATACTTGGTCAAACGATAAATTTGATATCCTTCAACTGTCGAGCTTTGATGTATACATAGATAACACATGTCAAGCAATTTACATTTATCCGTTCTTGATTCTCATTATTGTGTTCATTTTAGTCACGAACAACACATGATCATTTCATATGTTCATAGAATTGACCTTTCACTAATTCTCCTTTAAGTGGCTTACACTTCACAGTCATATAACTAATTTTGAAATGTGTGACCCGTAGATACATTGTTTGGTAATTGATCATGTCATGTCAAATTTATAAATCATTAAAAAATTGTTTCCTTATTTCCTAAACATTGTCGTATAATGAGAATGGATTAATTCAATGACATTGTTGAACTCTTATTCATGATGTTGTTTGATCTCTTTGAATCTAGATTTTGGAATCTCCAATCAGGTAAAATTATCATTATGATAACTTGTTCTCGGCCATAACCCTATTCTCTTTGATGATTTATTAACCGTCTCTCGAGTTAGGCCTTTGGTAAGTGAATCTTACACATTATCTTTTGACTTTACATAGTTAATTGTGATAATTTCACTAGAGAATTATTATCTAACGACATTATTTCTTCTTCATCATATGTGACCACTCTTTTTTATACATAACATTTTCAGTTCTTCCTATTACATCTTGACTATCATACTGTATACATAAGTCAAAATGTAGATGAAAACAAGTTTGTTCACCAAAAAATATATATATCTTTCATTCTATATATATATCGCGTGAATTATATATATATATATATATATATATAAAATTCATCTACATATGCCTACAAATTTCCTTTAGGTTCGGTTGTCAATTCAAGTCTTACACGACTCCCTTAGGCTTAGCTGTTTTTTTTTTGGTTCTTTCTTCACTTCTTTTAATCCTTTTTATATTTGTTTTGGTTTTTTTCCTTTTTGTCTTTTTTTTTCTCTATTTCTTTTTTTCCTTTTTTCGTGGTTAGTTTATCTTCTTTTTATATTTTTGTCCTTTTCTTTTCTTCTATTTTTGTCTTTATTTTATTTTAAGATACTATATTAGATTAATATAAATATATAAAATAAATAAATAGACTACTATGTTACTGATGTAATTAGTTTAGTGAATAGAGATGTAAGTTTGATTATATTGATAAATTAACCATGTATTATTTTTTTCATTTTACAATTCGGAGTACTAAATCTAATAATGTTGAATAATGAGAACTTCATAAAAGGAAAAATGATTTTCTTAATCTCTTAAATTATGAGAAGAAGAAAAAAAAGTATGTTTTGGATAGAATCATTTATCATGGAAGGCTAATTTGGTATCTAACTTGGACGAGTAAAATAATCTATCGAATACTAATTTCATAGTTTGACACTAAAAATTGTATACTTTAAAAGTACATGAATTAATTAAGTAGTTTGTTCAATTGAACGAGACTAGCCTCATTACTTCCCATCGGTGAACATACGCCTAACTCCACCTACTCACTCATCATCAATCGCGACATCCTACTAAGACTAGCACTAGTAGACACCTATTGTATTAAAATCAGATGTTCGTGTTTTTTTACTATTGTTAATGAATCTCTTCCACAATAATCCTACTCTATGTTAGATCAATTTTATGAATACTATTCCGATCTAAGTAGTCTTATTTTTTTATTCCGTGCTAGGAAGCATTACTCCTCTTTATTCCAATTCGAAAATCAGAGGATTGAAGCTCACACACATAAAACTTCAAAAAAAAAAAGGAAAATAGTAGAGGTTTTTGCACATTTAAGTTACATATTGCTTGAACACACTTGAACTTTATTACATAGAACTTCAAAAGGGAAATAGTACATACTGCTTCAAACAAACCAAACTTGAAACACACACAACTTCAAAAGGGAAATAGTATAGGCTTCTGCCTATTAATTTTACATACTGCTTCAATAAGTCTGCAAACTAGAGTAGAGAATTCTTATAAGAATTCATTTATTCTTCAAACGTAGAGTTTTAAGCTTCATTACTCGTCACACCATTTCATACTTCCTGACTTCAGCACAAGTTACAGACTGGACAGGTAGGACTCAACTCGAGCCATTTATCAAGGCATACAGCATGGAACTGCAACAAAATAAAAAAAATGAGTGAACACTGACAAGAGTGCGAAATCCAAGACTACGATTAAGTTTGTGGATTAGAATTAAAAGAAGTGCAAAGATTAGTTAATTTCTGAGTTACTGGCGTTTATTCAAGCCTCAAAGATAAGGAAATGGTAGTTATAGTCGATAACATTGAGTGATTTTATCCATAATCATTGAAATTGAGCTTCAACACAGATCTATGTCCACGATACTGTGATTTAGGGAAATGGTTGAACATGATCTATTATAGAGGAAAGGAAGAAAATATTAGATAGAATAGGAAGAAACCTGATGGATACATGGAAAGCAACAAACAAGGTCTCCCTCAATAACTGGCTCCAAACAAATATTACATATCAATTCATCAGATGAACCATCTTCGTCGGGCACACCTATTGTCATAGATTCCTGCTTCATTTGAAAGGAGCACATTACAAAAACTGAAAACCCAAACCTAATGTTTTAAGTGAGTTGAATAGAGAATTTCATAAAAAGAAGCACAGAAGAACACAAAAGGACTAGAAAATATATGATAGGAAAAGTATATCGTGGAGCTAGAAAAATGTATATCATTAACGGGCTGCATATACAGATATCATGAGAGTTTTAGGTATTTTCCCCTCTCCCCTCTCTTGAAAATCTAAGGCAAATAGCTGTGAGAAAATTGATTTTTCACATTACTACTCCTGGATTTGCAAATATTATCCAAAAAAGGGAAGATGACAAGCAACTAAGGGAAAACAAGGGGTAGCTAAAATAGACGTGGAGAGGTCACCAAGCTATATATAGTATTTTGGCATAAACCTTGAGAATATGAAAGAAAATACCTGGTCTGAGGCTAAGGCTGAGGTTGAAGAAGATGAGGCCTGTTCCGGTGGAGCATCCTCACTGCAGGAAAGAACAATACTGAATCGTCCATTAAAATTTCAATGCAAAACTGTCGTTAAAAATTTCAATACAGATAAACTCATCGAAAAGTACACATTTTTCAACTTAACATTTGGTTCTTCAAACAAACTATGCACAAGTCATTAATCTCTTTGTTGCAGTTTCATATTTCAAACTTTTTTATTTTCCCCATCCTCTCAAAAATATATTCAAAAGTTCTTTTATTGTCAAAAAATATATGCAGAAGTTTTTGGTAGTTAGCTGAAGGGAATGTGATCAACTAGCATTACTCTAGATTTAAACCACCAATCGTCCTACTCTATGTGCACAAGAATTTAAGTGAATTCTAGGCTTGAGAGAAAAAAGCACGACTTAAAATGCTTGTGCTTACCTCTCTAGACAAGCATCTATCTCTTCGTCATTCACAGAAGGAATTCTGAAGATAGAAGATAACTCTCCGTAGGTATGGTGTTCTGCATATGGAAACAACCATATAGTAAGAAAAAGATTGTTTTTATTTTCCTGACCGAATTTTGAAAGGTGAGTATGATAATGATTCCAAGAACATATCCACATCAAAACTTTTGCTAGATAAAGTTTTAGCAGATTGCATAGCAAACATACCAAACTCATCAACTTCACGGTTTAGATTAGCAATTTGGAGCCTCAGGTCTTGCAATCGTCTTCTGATGGGAAATGATTCTAATGGAGGAACATCGTAATGAAGTTCATCAGAATCAATCAAGTGGTTAACCGGTGCAATCCTTTCTCTGTCTCTAGCTTGACGTATGGAACAAATTTCATATATCATTACAACTACTATCACCGGGACAACATGTAAACCAATGACACCCTGCGCGTGAAAATTTGACACCATTATGTCAAAATATTATGCCACCAAATGAGTCAAGAAAAATGCTCACTAATATTCAGCTTAAGACTAGGATGGAAGTTACCACAAGAACCCATGAATCATCAGGGGGGCTTATAGCGTAGATGACAACAGCTGCCAAACAGTTTAACAAATAGATAATTAATAGACAGGTTCCACATAAAGAATTTGCAAGAAAAGAATCATAAAAAATGAGGCAGAAACTTTACCTAGGATAGTCAGAACGACTGATGATAATACCGTTGCGCTTGAAAAAAATTTACGCTGGTAGTAAAGAAATTGCAGTGTCAAGACAACACTAGACTAAATACTGGTAAATATTTCTTGACCTCTACACAAGTATATATAACAAAGACTCTGGTTTACAGGGAAAAAAATCACCATTTCAGAAAACATGCAAGATAAAGAGTAATACAAGCAAGTAGCACAGCCATTAAGGACATAGGAAAACATCTTATGCTCTTGGCTGCATCTTTCACAGCTTGATTCAAGGGAAACAAAGGCAAATGCACGGAAATATGCAAGTGCTTAGCGGGCTTTTAACCATGATTTTTTTTACTTTTTCCAGAGTCGAACTCTGGGAAACAATTTGGCCATAAAATTCTGGAATTTTGAAAAACATCAAAAAGTTGTTCACTTTTTTCACTCCAAGTTAATCACAGAAAGTCAGAAAACCACATCAAATTCTATTCATTGCCACACATAACTTGGCCAATTTTCAAATATCATTTTTCACTTCTAATACAAAAACTACTTTATTCAAATATCACAATTTTTATAGTCAAACTTAATTTAAAATCCAAAACTCCTGA